CGAAATACGGATTCGATCAAAAACCAACCAAACGGCGTCCGAATGACTTGAAATTTTGCACACACGTCACAAATCACATATCAAAGCTACAGCAACTCTCGGAATTCCATTCCGACCCTCAGATCAAAATCTCACCTATCAATCGGAATCCGCCAAAATACTAACTTCGCCAATTCAATCCTAATTCTACACCGGACCTCCAAAATCAATTCCGATCTCACTCCTAAGTCACAAATCATCCCCCGAAGCTAACCAAATCACCGGAAATCACATCCGAGCCCTATAACTCATAAGTCAACATCCGGTTGACTTTTCCAACTTAAGCCTTCCTTAAAGAGACTAAGTGTCTCATTTCTTATCAAAGCCAATCTAAATCAACTCTCACACACCACATACCGATAACGAAACATGAGGAAGCATAAAATGGGGGAAACAGAGCAGTAACACATGAGACGACGGGTCGGGTCGTCACACAAAAACCAGGTTGCGGGTCAATAATAATTGTACATGTAACCATCTCATAGATGCATCTTATGTGGTATACATGGCAGGTGAATGAGCCCATATTCACCTTTGATATTTCCAGCATTCATGGGATTCAATCCCAATTTTAATTGGTATATTAATTAATGAGAACAAGCAACATAATAGAATTCGTAAAGAACTTTCTAGTTCTTTAATATTTACCCATGTGAATTCTCTTTTATTTTTGCACATCATACTTAAATTGATATGGGTAAACCAATTATGCCAACTGAATAGATAAACTTCAGATTTACACCATGACATGTGCAATTATCAATAAACTCCAAGTTTATTATGATATGGGTTTTTATATCAATAAACTTCCTTTTACTGTGGCATTCTTTTGTTTGTGTAGTACAAACTGGAGAATAAAGCGGGTAGCTTTTCACATACATATTACCTCGCTACAAGTTGTAGTAATAGAAGATATTAAATCTTTCCTTTATATATAGTCTCAATATAATCAACCGCTTTCGCGTATACTTTGGAAACTGAATAAGTTTCTTTGAGACTTACTACAACACAATACCTTATTGGTAATTATTTTGTTTCTCCAAAATAGTATAATTGGCTCTTGCAGAGTTCTCAATTAATTTTGTAGTACCACATATTCATCAACATCCATATGGTGAATATCTCTTTTAAAGAGAAAGTTATACCATTATGGTTATGGTCAGTTATGTGCACGATATGTTTCTTGCATTACCATTGTCTTTTAATAATCACAATGCCAAAATATTTTGGCGTACAATAAGTACGTGACCAATGACCATTTATGCCATAATAATGACATTATTTTCTTATTTCCTCTCAAACCTCCTTCTAGAGGTGAGCGTGGTATATTCACTACCACTAGCACGTTCATATTCCTCCAAGAATGAATATGTATTCATAAATCAGATGTTGTCACATTCACAACATGAATGGACCATATCTATATGTACTTTACAAAATCTCATGTCACATATTTTTCACAGAGTGAAAGATTATTTTGAGAATCCTTATTGTTCTCATTATCACAATGATGACGATTATAATTTCGTCTATTGCCACGTCCACATCCATTGATACCTTCATGGTAATAATTTTGTCTTCTTTCAGACATATCACATATTGCTATCACATTCTCTTAAGGGAATGAGAATGGAGCAAATTCAATGGGACGGGTATTCAATTCTTTGCCCACAATCATGGCAAGGGATAACTATTTTACCACTTTTGGTGGTTATAATTTCTTACTAACTCCATTAGAGTTATAATCAAAATTTATTGTCTTTGCTCGTATTTAAAATCAAATTATAGAATGTCAAGAATCTAAAAGAGAAAAATAAAGTAAAATACTTACATTAAATCCAGAATTTAATCATGAAGGAAGTTCATGGAACAATTGACAACCATTATGCTCCATCCCAAAACTTCTACTCAATTGGTTAGAGTCTCGTGCTGATAACGTGTTATAAAACAATAAATAAAGAAGAAGAGTATTGCAGAGAAAAGTAGAGAGAGAGAATTCTTATTAGTATGGGATTAATTACAATGGAATAGAACACTCTATTTATAGGGAGACGGTGACTTAGTCACCAAGTAATAAACCCTAGAATCTCTCTAAATATAGACATTCACCATAAATATAATTCTATTTATAACACTTTCCTCTTTTTCATTTTACATAAATACTATAGTTAAGGCACTATGGGAAAGAGGAGAGGAGAAAAAAGAAAAAAAGAAAAATGGTGTAATTGAATCCTCTAATTTAAGGCACTAATAATGAATTATATATGGAGAGAGGCGGTAGAGAACAGGAAAAAAAGGAGATGAGAGAAAAAAGAAAAAAGGTGTAACTAAATCCCCTAATTTAAGGCACTAATAATGGATTGTATATAATTTGTAAGTAATCCTTATTTAGGACGGGAAGTATTCAAAATTAGGACAATTTTGATAAATAAGTTTCAAATATTGTATAGGAAGGAAAAATCCCAGAAAAAAACAAAATTGGCATCCTATAACAACACATAACAGGAATTAGCAATTTTTTAGCCTTATATTAGGTTTGGCGAAGATAGCCCCAAACAATTAGCGTTATATAGCCATATCTTAAAAAAAACTACTTTCTTTTATATTCTCTCTTAAAAAAACTACACGCTTATTTTGGCTTCCCTCCCCCTTTCTCTCCTTGTATATCTTCTTCTATATCTTCTCTTTTGCTCTCATAGTTTAGCAAAAATTCTTGCAAATTATGCAAAAAAATAAATCAGTGTGATGAAAAGGTAAGGTTGATCTCACATCAGAGAAAATCAGAGGCAAAAACTAAGAAAGAAAAAATATGTTTCAACTTATTTTTCTTCTCTCTTCCTTTTGTTTTGGTTGGATTGAATGAGTGGGTGTGGTTGAAATTGGTTGAAAATACCTAAACGAGGCTATATACAAAATTTGAGCAAGATTAGTAGTGGTTTAGACTGGTTTCAGGTAAAACATCAGACCTAGAAATCAAACTACAACATGTGTATATCACGTTGTATATCGTGTACATTAGTGTATATCACACACAAGTTTTTAAGGACGTCTGTGTATATCACTTTGTATATCGTGTATACAACATAATTTTTTTATTGGAAGCCCGTGTATATCACATTGTATCATATATATAACACAAATTTTCATGTATATACACAGATACACATAATATACATGGGATATCACTAATGTACATAGAGATATACACGGGTTACAATAAGGGATACACATGTGTAGTCGTCTTGAACTTGAATTTTCAATCTGAAATATGTTATACAAAGAAGGAAAAAAAAATTTTAATAATTTTTTTTGATATACACATTATTATTATGTTATACACTGTGATATACAAATAATATAATTATTAATTATTGATCAAAAAAGGAAAATAATTTTTTGATATAGCATGTTTAAGCAAGTTCTAAAATATAAAAAGGCAGAATAGCCTCGTAGGCACTTGTACTTGTTAGCGTTTGTCATTCCGGTCCCTATAGTCAAAGAAGATTCATCCAGACACTTATAGTTGTTCAAAGCCAATATTTTAAACCTCTCTCACCTCGCGTGTTCTTCAAATCATTGACATGGATGACACATCAGTGGCCACGTCAAATTTTTTGTTACACATCATTATTAATTTATTTTTCACATTATTTTAAAATTGTTCATTTTTTTTTTCTTTTATTCCACCATTTACTCCATCTTCCTCCTCCCTCACCATTTTTATTCTCCATTCACAAATCTTAAAATTCTCCTAACCATCATTGTGTGCGATTCCTCTTCGACCATCCTTCACCTACAAAGCTTCTTCACAGCCAACATTCCACCATAGCATCACCAATCAACCACCAAAAGCTAAACCGGCCATCAATAATGACCACCCGAAAGACCAACATGACCCAAAACTTTTTAAAATTTCACTATAAGAAAACTAGAAAATAGGTTTCACCGGCGATCTTCTTTCACTATTTTTATTTCTTTTCTTTGCAAAGGCTATCTT